TAAAGAATAATACAAAAAAAAACAAGATAAGAGCATGAAAAATTAATATAAAATTAGTAAAATACAATAAAATAAAAGGGATAAAATAAAGTCAAATAAGATCGGGAAAGGCTCTCCTATAAAAGTATGTTTTAAGAATATTGCCAAAGCATCATACAAACGACATAAGAACAATCACCCGCATGCATTTCATTAAACAAGTAATTAAAGCATAAAGTAATTAAAGCGTTATGTGTGTTTGTGTTAGAAAAATTAAAATATATAAAAAATTTAAATAAAATAACTAAATAAAACAGTAAGCGTATATGTGTGCGTGTGCGTGTGTGTGCGTGTGCGTGTGCGTGTGCGTGTGTGTGTGTGTGTGTGAGTTTTGCTCCTGCTGTCGACAACTGCATGCACGCCGCAGTTCCTCGCGGGTCTATTTCAAGTAGTGGCTGTTTAAAAACAATATAATATTTTTTGTGTGGTTTATCAACGGTGATAAGTTATCCGAAAGTCCCGTAAGGTGCGGACAACTCGGCATAACACCGGTGAAGCTGGGGCTCCATCTCTTCTGCCCCTAAACACATACACGCTACTCCTACAAATGCGTACTGACGCCCCAGGGTTAGGGTTACAATTTTGGATTTATTCAAGCACTTTTATTGGAAGTTTTTTACACATTTATTTACAGCATTAAACATTGAAATGTATATTGTAATAGGCTGTATATTAACTTACTGGGAGAAAACTGGTAGTTCTATCAAAATCAGACGTATATAGCCAATATAGCCAAAATGGCATGATCCTCGTTTCGCTGTGAAGCTTCGACTGTGAGATTGACAGTCGAATCAGGCTCCGCCCTTCGAAGTGTCGAAACTTCGACTATTAGGGGTCAGCCCTAATATACATACATACATACATACATATATATATATATGTATATATATATATATATATGTATATGTAAGTACATCAGTTTATTATTAATGCTTTGAGAAGAAAAGCATATGCTTCACTGATTATATTTCATTAATTGCATATTATCAAGTCTTACATCGAGAATGATAATTTACAAGAGCATTTATTCATATACTTTAATAAGTACAGTTTTGAGGCCCTTGTATTTTATGGAACATTTAATTATGTATATTTAAAAAAATATGTTTTCTCGACTACATTTCAGACAGTAATAAACTCCACTACTTTAATTTGCTCCAGATTGGATTTAATTAATGCAATTGCATATTACACATCTGGATTGGCTGCAGCATTGAAATAGAACAGTACATTACACTATAGGACAGCAGGACAGTGGAAAGCTGTACAAAAACTGTATTACAAACTATTAAACACTACATACAGAATAAAGAGAGAGAGAGACATTACAAATGGTACAAAACAGTACACTGTAGGCGGTAAAGGCAGGATGTAAGTGAGTGATATTTGGTTATGAATTTAACAGTCTGATGGCTAGGGGCAAGTATGGTCTTGGATGAGTCTGTGGGCCTCCTTCAAGTGTCTCCTGTGGTAAATGTCCCGGAGGGTTGGTCGGTTATTGCCTGTGCGAAACTATGCTGTTTACATCACCTGCTGTACAGCTTTACAGTCCAGGGTGGTGCAACACGGACATCACACAGTGATGCAGCTGCTACAGATACTCTCACATGTAGAAGGTCGTGAGGATCTATGGAGCCATGCTGAATTTACAAGTCAAGGGATTCAAGGGAACTTGAAACTGCTGTCTCTCTCCACTCAGGGCAAATTGATGAGAATAAGGCAGTTTCCTCCTTGTCCACAATTATCTTCTTCACCTAGTTGTCCTGGCACCATATTTAAGGGTCTTACCTTTGCGCTGTATGCATGAAAGAAACCTGTTATTCCTTACATGTCCGAATTTTACAAATATACTGCTGTTTAGTGGATGACATTTCAGGAATCAAGCTATTGCTAAAGTCCAGACATAATCTGATTTTATTTCTTCTTCCACGAAAGCTTCGTAAGCGGCTGTGCTGATGGCTGTGGCGTCATTCTCAAACGGATGAAAGTGGGGCGGTGCTGTGCCACACTGTTATGTGTGATCAGGGAGAAGTGGCATGGGCTTGAGTGCTGAAAATGAGTGGAGGAAGTGCCAATCTTCACCACCAGCCGTCTGCCTGTCAGCAAGTCCAGGATTCAGTTGGGCATGGTGCTTTAAGTGGGTTGGTGCACCTGAGGGCTCTGCTCACATTAGCTCTGGACACAGTGAGTGCTCTTTATTATACTGTGTCGTTCGTGCTATAATTCTCAAAACGTGTGTAGGATGTGTTCTGCTTATTTGGGAAGGAGGCAGATACATGTGACACACAGCTGGGCTTCCCCCTGAGTAACGGAGGATTGATAAACTCGAATAAGATTTCAGACATGTGATGTTTGATCACGTTTTCATTTAGTTGTTGTAGATGAAATTGTTATTATTATATTTCTTATCTGATGTACCTTTACCTGATGAAGCTGCATGTGGGTTTGCATATGTGCTTGAAACCCAGATATAGCCTTATAAAATCTGATTATTATTTGTGCTACGTTGCTTTTGTGCAACATGATCATTTTGTTTCCTGAAAAAACTATTAATTTTGGCAGACATGACTTTCATGTCTGTTTACCTGCTATTGTTTATGATGTTGCTATTTCGTTTTTTCCACAATACTCACACCCGCTGTCCTGTGTAATTTCATTCTGCACACCCCATCAGCAAAATATTTTCTTTATCTTCAAAGTTTTAGTTAATTTTATTCTGGTGAGAATAACAACGTCATAATGGACTAATTTTCACTTCACAATAAATTAATCTCCTGTAAATCTGCAGCCACATTACTGCTTTGATGTACATACTAAGTGTGTGTTCAACTGATGTTTACATGAACTATACTGTCCCTTTGCACTATAGAATAGCCTAAAGTAAAAAATCTGTCTGTTGGCATGTGCCAGTATCCTATACTAGTTTTGCCCGCACCAGCACCACAAATACTAATTCTTGCAATTGTAGTAGGTCAAGTGTTTATGATTTTCACTCAAGTGTTCATGATTTTCACTCTCCTGGTTCAGACCAGACAGCAAGCCAGCTCACTGTGAAGGGCCGGAGCATCTAATGACACAAAATGGCTGGGCCAGGATACCTGTCTGTCATGGGAGGCAAATAAATCCCCATTAGCAGTGCGGCTTGATCCAGTACTGGTGCCAGACTTGGAGACCGCCCAAGCCACAGGACAAGGATCAACTCTCCATAAGCATGAACCTAACACCCACACACTTTACTACTAGTTACTGCACATGAATCAATGGTTAACTAGCTTATGGCACATGCCTACAGTGCCAGAGGGCTCATGATACGCTGAGGTTAAAACAGAATGCAGAACAGGGCATAACTAAGTCTATAGTTGACACTGAACTTTGCACACGTGTGCGTGAATCGGTTTTATGGTGGAGAGAAATGGAGGGCTTTGTGAGAGTGCACAATGTCTGATGCACATTTGATAAACAGAACAGAGCAGACTATGGGACTTATTCATATGTTTTATTAACTGAGGGGGGTAGGCACAATAAACTATGGTTTCAGCCTACATCATTTTGTTTATTGCTATAATCTGTTTTTTTAATGACTCATTATCTGTTCAAGCCTTGCTGTTTCCAGTTATATTCCATCCATCCATCCAGCTTCCAGTTATATAATTTTTCATTCTTAAAGATAATTGCAAGATAAGCACAAACATATTTGAGATGGGATAGATGGGGAAATAGTACAGCAGTAAAACTCTTTGTATTTGTAACATTTATTTCTAAAATTAATTATTTATGCCAATTTAAAAAACAAATGGATAGGCCTAAAACGTCAGAAATGAATGTCAGAAATGAATGTAAGCCTCTGCTTAAGAGGCAGCTTCATTTATATCACAGGAAATTCTCATTATGTTGCAATGCCTAGATCTGTATTGTCTTTACAATCTGCACAGTTCTACCTCTTTGTTTTTCAGGCTGCGGCAGAAGTAAAGAACGATTATTTGGAAGAGGATAAATGTGACCGGATGGGGCCCTCCTCTCTCTTTCCCTCTCCCCTTCCTATCTGTCGTCTTTACTGTGTTTATATTATAGACACACCCCTGACCTTTCATCCAGGCCCCCTACGCTAGCCCCTCCACACACACACCACCACCATTAACAACACGTACCGGAGTCCCTATGTGCACACAACCGTAAATGAAGAAATGCCACCTAAATAAGTAATAAGTTGGTCAAAAAATAGATATTTCACCAATGTGAAAAGCTCAGAACATGAGCAATAATTGCAGTGTGATCGTGTAATGGGGTTGTTTAAATGATCTATTTTTAGCATACTCGGCCATCTCTCATGTTTTGTAAATGTATGGCAAGCTCGCCATGCAGCGGCACTGCTTCCCAGCCTACCACTGTACTGCAGAGTAGACACACCCCTCAAGTACACACGCCTCACTGCACACATTTGTAAAGTGTCAAAGAAATAATAAAGCAAAATGCTTAAAATTATATATTTAGGACCTGACACCGCTTATAGTATTATTTCAACTGCGTGATATCGATAGTGATAGTGTTATGGCTTATTTCAATTTCAAGAACAGGGCTCAAAGTCTGTAGCTGCAAAACAAAGAGCCTCCGGTGCACGAGAGAAACACGACCGTAACGGCGCGATTTCCACCTACTGAGACACCGCGCGGTGTCTAATGTTAGCACGGTAATCCCCACGCCGTGTGTCCGCTGATTGAGGGATCAGAGGCAAAACGATGTTGCTTTAAACCTCACGCGGTCAAAGTTGTTTACCTCTTCGTTACCTGTGACGTCACGACACACCCCTGTTTGAGGTGGCGACTCCCCGTGTAATGGGCATCGGAATTGACCAAACAGTGGCCGGATGGGCCGAAATGCCACCAACCACAACACGAGAGACACGCCGAGCCCACCTGTGATTGGTTAATGGAGGGGCTGGGGGGAAATCCCTCTTTCCCGTAGAGGTCCTGAAGAGGGGGCGGCGCATAACAAAAAGTAATGGCCATCTATTTGGGTCCTGAAGAAGGAGGGGTATTTCTTGTCGAACTATCGTATGCGTGATTGAGTTTTCTTCGTGCGTTTGTCCGCCAGTGATATCCAGTTGCGCCTCAACCGTTTTCCGTTTGACGCCCGTCGGCTTGGGTCGCAGAACGGTTAATACGCTGGCTGAACTTCGTACCGCGTTTTAGGGTTAACGCAGGCAGCTAGCCACGCTAACGTTAGCTACCACCAGCGCTGCTGTGTGTGAGAGCCAACGTCTGGAAGGGCGTACGAGTTTGACGTTTTCTCCCCGAAGTCTCCTCACATTTTCTGAGTTAAGTACTACGCGGGTCCTTGTTACTCAAAGCTAACACGGCCAGTCAACATGGAGGGGGCACACTTTGCGAGAGCGTGAAGACGGCGACACACGGTGACTAAAGAGGATTAAAAAGCAGCTCGGTCTTGATGGGGAAAAGTTGAGCTGAGGTAAGAAACTCGCATGCACAGGAGGAATAATAAAGTCGAGACTTGAGTTTCTTGTCATTTCTGTTGCACAAGACCGCAGAAGAAGCAGGTTTAGCACAGTTTTAGACTGTTATTTAATCAACGTTTTCTGCCTACGTAGTTGCCTTGACGTTATGCACGGTGATTGCCACTGAGTGTGTATGTTGCTGTTGAAAATAATTCACCGTTACATAAACAGAGCAACTGCGGGTCAGGTACTAGGCCCACTCAGTGACTTGCGACATGCCATTTTGCTTTTGTATTGAACAGGATTAACAACTTGGAATAAACTGAAGAAAGCTTTCAAGTGTTACCTATTGCACACGGGCATGCTAAAACCTCAGGTGAGACATTTTTCTTTTGCTTTGAAGTCATACCTGGCGATGTTTATATTGACAGTCCTATTGTCTTTGATAAAAAGACACTGAAATTGTCTATTCATATGTAATTAATTCTTAAATTATGTTGCTTTGAAGTTAGACATTTTTGCACATATTTCGTGGGATTGATGCAGTCTCATGATTTCACAACTATGATGCTTTAACTCCTATCATCTCTTTAAGGGGGTCTCTAAGAATAAGGTAGTACGTGATATATGAACTATTATGAATTTTGCTATTAATAAGACCATCATGAATTTACTGATGTCATTTGAAGTTTCTGAATTAAAAAAAAATTTCAATACTTTTAAAACTTTGGTTAATTTAATGTGATCTGTCAAGATGTGACCTAAATCAGTGACACTGACTCTAAAGGCTGTGTAATGAAATATGCAGAACTGAAAATGAAATTGTCAATACAATCATGAGTTATTGATTTTAACTACAAGCTCTTTTGTAACCTCAAAAAACACAGTGTATTATCAACTGAACTTTTTATTGCCTTGATAAAATGGCGATAAGCTGAAATTGTCTGCTCTCTTGTCATGTTACAGTTATGATTTCCCTGTATGAGATTTTCTATGTACAACGATTTTTGAGTATGGAAGGACTTCTCTGTCACTTTCACAAACACAGTTGCGTTTTAGAATTATTTATACAGCTGCAAGTATTTATCTTCTTACACCCTTAACCCCTCACTTCATACTCATAGAGCACTGAGCCACTGGCTGATAATCAAGGATCAAGGATCAGGTTAATTTATTTATCATTATACAACACATGGCTGTTCAACGACTTGAAAGTTTGTAGTCCCTAAATGCGACACATATAGAACATAACTGATAATTAGATTTATATTAGAATACAGTAACATAAAAATGAAAACAATATAGGCCTGTACAGTTATTTACATACACACGTATACACCTAACTATGCAGTGCATTTTTTTTTTTAGACATCAATAATAACATAATTTATGACATCATTAATTACTATGAGCATCTTGTCTTTCTTGCGTCTGAAATTTAAAATGCCCCCAGCTCTTCTCTTTCTGCTGCTCCTCACTTCAAAGAAAATCTGAAGCGACCAAACACAGCTAACAGCCAGGGGCATATATATTCCTACCTATTTTCCAGTGAGCTTGGTGCTATAATTCTCACACCTATCCATTTCTGTTTATGAAACAGTTTGACACCTGGTAAAATAGCAGGTAGGATGTTGTTTTTATGTCAGCTGCTTCATTGCCTGTTTTTAGAAAGGGGGGGGGGGGCATTGCCCCTTCTCGTCAACTTGGCCAACTTGAGATCAACGGTCACACATGCTCTGGATTTATATGATGTGGAAATTTACGAGAGAACCTGCGTTATTTGGGACAGAACGGGAGACTTAACCCAAATGAGGACCAAGTATGCTTCAGCTTTTGAATCAATTTTTAATTAACTTGTCAGTCGAACTGAGAACAAAGTTGTGATGAGAAGCTTCGACATGAGCTGGGTTTGTGTCTTTTATTGACTGTCGCTGTAGCACGTTGTTCACGGAGCTGTGTGCTGGTGATGGTACAGTCCATTAGGTCTCCTGTACAGTGACCCCCCCGCCCCCTCGTGACTACAGTAATTGGTCGCTTCCTCTCACATGTAACCCTATAGAAAGAAAGGGGCTGTTGTAGTTAACTGTAAAGGCCCACTTGTACATGCGTGCTGTTTGCCACATATGTTCAGTTGCCTTTGAGACTAATGAAGTGTTAAGTTCCCTCTAATGTCTTTGGGTCCTCAATTACCTCCTGTGGTTGATGCTTTCTAGGCCAAGTACACATTACACATATTTGTTGTAGGCTATATATAAAGAAAAATCTTCTTGGAAAGCAAAATATATGTCACTGTTTGATATCTAGGTCAGTGGATGTATATCCAGATATCTTTTTATAAATTAATTTCAGTGTAAAACTGGAATGTGTATCATATTTTAGTACAATTGTATGTTTTTTCACCTTTTAAAAGTTGGCTTTTTTATTAGAAACAAAAAAGTTATTTAGTGCATTTAATATTTTTTAAGAGAAGTATTTCCTGAAAGAGAGACATCATTTTATGGACGTTATATAACTTTTACTTGTGGGGCTAAGTGCATTTGCACCCACCTCACCCACACGTCTGTTGTGTGTCCGGTTCTGTCCAGTTGGCTTTCTGCGTGCGCGACTCGAGAATGTGCGTTCTCTGTCAAATTCGGCATAGACATAAACAGGACTTTTGGTGTGTGTTTGAGTGGGCCTCTCCCTGCCTCGTCTCTTTCCCCTCTCCAGAGTCCAGCAAGGGGCCCAGCATAAGGGGGCAGGCTGCCGTCACTGCCTCTCTCTTCCCTTGCAGGCCAGCACTGGGGCCTGGGTGGGGGGGCAGTGGTGCAGAGACCATAGGGCTGGACACGGGACATGAGACCCCCCACCCCTTCCACCCCAGTTTAGCCCATCCTGTGTGGGGCACAGGTCACCTTGTCATGTGCTATTACTGCTGCTGTAACATGCTGCCTGTGATCATAGGAAAAGAGCATGAGATAGACCCGTGGAGGCTGCGGGAGGGAGAACGAAAGAGAGAGAGAGGGAAGCGAAGGGACAGGACTCGACTAGTCTGCTCAGCCAGTTGTTTAGCTGTATTACAGACTGGGTTTGTCTACTTTGTTGTTGTTAGGTCCACATTGTCTCTTTTTGTCCATTGTTCTGGTTCCTCTATCTGTTCTCCCTGTGTATTGCCCCCCCCCCCCCCCAAAGAAAATTTCTGAACATCAAGCAGATTTCAATTAAACTCCTTCTGTCACAGATTATGTTTTCTTTTAATGGTTCTTGTTTTCGCCACCCCCCACCTTCCTACTCCATAACATTTTTTCCCTTTTCACCCTCTTTTCTGCCAGTATTGCGGACCCAAAACTGCTTCTATGTGTGAATCACAACACCATGTATTTCCATTGTAGCTCAGCTCTCTCTGCAGCCCGGGTCATTCCAGATCTTATTTGTTTTATGTCTCTTCTGTACTCATAGTGACCCAGCCCGAGGTATGCAGTAAAACACATCGCCTTATGTTTTCTTCGTTCAATGCTCTCCGCAACTTCTCTCCCTGTCTTTTTTCTCTCTCTGTCTCTCTCTCTGTCCTCCTTTTAAATATTTCTCTCGCTGTCTTTTTTTCTCCTTTAAGAGAAACTTTTGGCAGCATGGAACAATTTCAGAACCATTTGTGGGATTGCGTCATGTGATGTAGATGGAGAGTGCTCATTGGTCTGTCGGAGAGGACCTCCTTCTCCCACTCAGAAGTTCCACAGCAATCCGTCTCTTTCCTCCAATGCTCTTATAGGTCTGGATGTGATTCCGACTCCGACTCTTATGTGTTGGGATGTGGTCTGTAAGCTCATTGCTGACATTCTTGGGACGTGATGCCAGAAGTTTTTTATTTCCCGCTTTCCACTCTCTCTTCAGTGCGCAGTTAAAACGATCCCTCCTTGAAATGCTGTCTGGATACCCCTCGTTTACCTCTTTCCTCTTCACTTTGTTATATCTTTGCCCTGTCTTCAATCACATTTTAACGCCTAGGCACTAATGGCAACCACTTAATTAGGTTTGTTAGATGGTGGGCTGTTGGTGGACGGTGGGTTTTATAATCACTTGATATTGACTTTGATGAAAGTTAATCTAACATCTGGGCCGCGGTCCAAACCTTACTTATGTCTTTGCTGTACGCAGCACCTGATAAGGAAAACCAGTGGCCACTTTCCTGTTTGGTAATCACATACTTGGTGCACAATGGTGCAGCTAGAAAATGAAATGGCGTGTAGAACAGAAGGATATAAGCTACCATATGATTGGTATTGGACTCCTGCCATGGTCCACCTTGGCACTTATCCCAGTATGAATATTTCACAGCAGCCCAAACTCACTGTAGGTGCAGTAACTGCAGCAGTGATGCACAGAGTAATGAATTACTATATTCAGAGCACTCCTCATGCGGCATCACCAGCAATGAAGTTGTTACAATTTCTCATATTAGCACTTAACAACTCTCTACTCTCTGTTCACACTATCTGTAGTTGAGGCTTAATTTTGCATTGATTAAGATCTAGTGTCAACTAATTAGAAGGTGCAAGTTAGAGGTTTCCATTTGGGACACTGGGATGCAGATGGTGCAAACAGTTTACACTGATAAATGTGACACCGGTTGTGTCATTGGTAGGATATTCCTTCAACGCCACCAGAGTGGAAAAAAAACTGCCAGGTGTTCATGAATGAATATTCAAGCGGTGGACTTTTTATGTAGTGTGGGTTAGGCTCCGGTTATTAAAGACATTCTGTCATATAACAAGACAAGTGGTTTTTCACACATGTTGATCCTAATTCACGTCACACCACCAAGACCACTAGGCCATTTATCTTTAGAATTGATGACTGGGCATTAAGGCTTCTGCACACAGTGTCACGTCTTTCAAATCCAACCTGGGACTGGTTCTAACGCCAGTCCCTGGATTGTGAGACACATGCGTGTCATTTCTGCCATGATGTGAATAAATCAAAGTAGGAAAAGATGAGTCACCGCTCCACTGCATGCTAAGTAGCACTTGTTCTCCCTCCATTAATTTGTTGGGTTAAAAGAACGGGAAACTCCCTTGCCTCTCCTCCAGCTGCACCACCAAAATTGGGGTAATGTCTTTATTTTACAGCTTTCACCACCCAGTTAAAATGACAAGCTGGAGTCAGTTTGCGGTACTGTGCATAATTACAGCAGGCCTCATCTCTTGCTCATCGGCCACTGTTGCTGTGTCACTCAGACTCCCAAGCTCCAGGCTTCCACTGCACATCGCTTTTCTTTCCTTTTTATCAGCCGATTTCTCAGATTGAGTCCATAAATTATTTCTTACTTATTTATGTTACTTAGTTGTGGAGCAAAAGTGCAATCATTGAAAAATGTGTGTCAACGTTATCTGAAAAGAATTGTAAATTTGTCAATACTAGTACCTAAACGATGAGTCTTTTAATTAATGGTTTGGTTAATATACAAAATATTAATCAGCAACTATTTTGATTATCAAATCGAGTTCCTAGCTTCTTTTATTCAGTTTTATATCATTGTAATTGATTATCTTTTAGTTTTAGACCGTATGTTGGATGAAATAAGAAATTTGAGCTTCAGAGGGAAATCTTTCCCTCTTTTATGTTTTAGGGTTCAACCAAGGACGTAATCATCGATTATAAACATCATTAGTTGTAGCCCTAGTCATTATGTTGTTGGATTTTGTCCAACCTCCCTTACAAACCTCAAAAACAAAATAGTCATCCTGGTTTTCAGTGTTATTTCTCATTGGGTGAGCAGGGGGGTGTGGTGGTTGTCACATGTGGTGTTATCCGTCCTCCTGCCTTTTTTAAGGATAAAAGAGCCAGTCTTTCTCATACATACAGTTTAGTTGGGCAGCCAAGTGATGTTTTTCCTTGTGACATGTCCTCTCTCTCTCTCTCACTCACACACACACACACACACACACAGACACGATTCCTCCTTGATTTTTAAAATGGGAGTGAAGCAACACAAACAGAAATAAATCATACTATAATTGTGATTCCAGTATGAATAGCAACCCCCCAGCTGTCAGAGATGAGACATTTATTTATATTTAGTAAGTAAATGAAGTGGCTTATGTGTATTTTTAGCCATCTTTTTAAATCACTAAAATGGGCTGTCGATCGCTTCTCTCTGGGCCACTGATGTGCGCCCGCTCCTCACACTATTCTTCTCTCATAGAAAAACACACACAAAACATGGGTCCGCTTTGAGACAAAGAAAGTCAGTGTGACAAAGAGGTCACCCCTCCCCTCCTTGCCATATCTGTATATATCCCTGACTGCTTTTACTCCCATCTCTTCAGTGCACTCCTCGCTGGCCTGCTTCTCACGTGCATCCCCCTCTCCTCCTACACCACTGTCATAGCTCTCTCCAGTGGGCTGGCACTTCCTCTGTCAGACTGCAAACGGCCATTCAGAGGGCAAGACATGATAATTCATCTGAACTATCTGTGAAGTGATGTGAGATGGACACATACAGTGTGAAAAACGTGCCACCCATTCACTAACATGATCAGATGATTAGAGAAGCCAGAGGAAACGGCAACGGCGCTGCTGCAAAAGAGCTGCTTTAAATTTGAGAGGCGTTCAATGTAAACACAGTTCAATTTTAAACCTATATTTTTGCACTTACTACCAAGTATGTATCAGTTCGACTAAGTACAAAGTTATGAAATCTCTGTTAAAACTGCTTTGAGGAAGAGAGAGCACATTCAATAAACACCCCAGGCAATGTAAGAGATTCAAAGTATTTTACATAAACCAACGTAGCAGCTGTATCGCTCAGGTAGAAGTTGTTCATGCTCAAGAGATTTGTCCCCCATTCAGCTGGTGTAAGCTTATTCCTACTCATACTGATCATGTGGCTGACATGAGCTACTTTAATTACCCTCAGTAGCTCTACACTTCACATATACGTGCAGCTTTCACGGTTGTTCACTGACTGTGATTGTCCATGTTTTATCTTTATATACTTATGTGTCAAAAAATCTATATGTGTCACAATCAACAGCATCTCCTAGTGTGTCAGTGCCTGAAGTCATGGATTTAATCTCTACACTGTTGCTTTAAATGTGTATTCTCCATAAAACTTGATGTATATGTAATAATATATCTGCAACAGCAGACAGATAAAAGATTAAAAAAAGGACTGCTTTGTTTGAGAAGCAATTTTTGTACGTTCCTAAACAGCAGAGTCATCATTATGTTCTGTGTAAATAATGTGTTGTGCAGTCATGTTTGATTAGATTATGGAAAGAAAAGTGCATGGTAGAAAGGGAGTTTGAAAAAATGGCTAGACATCCATCTTCAAAGTAGCAACAATCTACTTTTCTGGTTAATTTTATGTTTTTAGTGCATAATCACATTGAAATAATTAGCAAGAGTCAAGTTTTGTTATTTTACTTAAGAACGCTCTGGTTCTGGCTCTCTGTCTTTCTCTCTCTCTGTCTCATGCTCTCTCTCTGTCTTATGCTCTCTCTCCTTCTGTCTCTCTCTGTGTCTATCTTGCTCCCTCCCTCTCTCTCTGTCTTTGTCCTTATCTCTTTTATTTAGGAGCTATAAACTATTAGGAAGTGGCAGGGATTATATAATTGAAAACAAAAAGCCATACAATTATTATATATTAAATATCATTTAAAAAAGCAGCTGTCTGAATTTAAGATTTAATTAGATTTAGATTAGATTTTATTTTAAAGAATCATATATTTTTAGTCCCCCTGAGTAATCTAAGTTGAGGCTCCGAGCTCATAAACAGACTCGTGTCGCTTTAGGGTCATATGAAGGGTTAGGGGGTTGGGTTTAAAAAAAACCAAAAAACTTTTGCCTTGTTTCCCTAGTTTCAGTGTGTCTCTTATTAATCAGGTTCATTCTTATCCTGTTTAAAGTCCCAGTTTAACATTTAGTTTTATGTCAAACTACTCAAAATAAATGAGATCCTAACCATTTTTAAAGCCAGTTTTTTAAATATAAAATCTTTTTGTTGTGACCATAGTTCAGAGTAGGTATAAAACAATAATTTGATTGCTATATTATGTTGATAGAAAGTTAAAGGACAGAAGACATGTCCTAGTAAATGCCTCGCCGTTGGTTGAAAAGTTTGGTTTAGAGAAAAAAGTGAGGAAAAAGTAAATTTGGAATCTCTGAATTTTAAAACATCCATAGAAACGTTTCAGAATCTTTAAACTCCTAGTCCATTTCTCACTGCCTCTCTGTATGCTCACTGTGTTCTTAACATCATATGTCTGCCAAAAACACACTGCTCCTGTTTGCAGTGAGCAGCATATCTGTTTACCACCTGAGAGGTTTGTAGTTCCAACAGGTTTGAGTTCAACAGTTGTTTGCTCCAAAAGTTGCTGGACTCCAAGTTGATAAAGTCTTGCCGCAGTGCACTATTCAAAACCCATGACAGCATGGCTGCAACTAATGATTATTTTCGTCTAAATCTGTTGATTATTTTCTCTTAGTTGTGTAGTCTAAAAAAAAAAGTCATAAAACTGTCAAATGTTGATCAATGTTTCCCAAAGTTCAAGAAGACTTCCTTAAATGTCTTGTTTTGTCCATAACCCAAAAATATTCACTTTACTGTCACCAAGGAGTAAAGAAACCAGAAAATGTTTACATTTAATAAGAAGAAATTTTTTTCTTTAAAAATGACCTATTAATCGATTATCAAAATAGTTCCCAATGAATGTAATAGTTGACAACTAATCGATTATTTGATTAATTGTTGCGGCCCTACATAACAGTGGTTTTCTAATTGGTAAAGTAGTCTAGTTGCAATCTACAAGCACAGTGGTTATAGATGCTTCTTATCAAATGTTAAAATCCATACTTGGCTGCCTGTCATGGAGCAGGACTCAACCCTGTAAGCTAGTCAGAAATTCACAGTCTTACTGTTTTATCCTTTGGCTTTGTGCCAGTGTAACACATGAGTAATATTTGGCATTGTTACTGCAGTGATAGATTTGATTGATGCTGCCGAACGCCGTACACACAATATGTATGTCATTGAGGAGTGAGACATTCAGTAGAGTAGCCCAGAGCTCAACGCCTGTTCCCTGGCTTTGTGTGCTCGAGACTGGAATGAGTACAGATCTGGTCTAATAACCCGATGCATTATTTAACACTCTCTCAATACTACCTTGCATTTAGTGTAATGGCCTGTCAAGGCTGAATGCAATCACAGAAGACTGACTTCACTGATGAGATGGTGATATAGTAAGGTAAATGGGTGTGTTGTTTTTATATTTTTATTTTTTTCCCTGTTTGTTCACAGTGAGTGAGGAGTGTGAACGCCTGCTGGGATTGGTTTGCCTACACGCAGTAGAACAGATTTGATGTTTTACAACGGGCTGTGCCATTTATACTGGTCAGTGTTGTGTAACATTTCATTACATGGAAGCAAATTAATATTTTGTGGCTATTATGTTAGACCTGCCAAAAACACTAATTATATATTTAAACCAGCCATAGACAATGCAATTTTTATGTTTGGTCATAGATGTACTCTATGCAGACAATATGTCACCTCTCCAAATGTCTGCAGGACTTTTAATACTGTACGTGAGAATGACCGGCACCCACCACCACCCTTTTCTCATTATACAACCTGATGATTTCTGTCTTTATGGGCCAGCCTAGTACAACCACTCAGAATACAAAGCTACCAAAGTAATCATTTTTAACAGACATCCCATATGAGGTTGCAACAGCACAAGGGGCTTCGATAAAACTCGTCTTTGACAGACAAATTGGCAGTCGTGTCATGGAGAGAGTGTCTGGCCTTACATAGAAGATGCATTTTCCTGTGAAATCAGTCTTATGAAAGAACCATGATTTAAAAACAGTATTTTTACGACACTGTTGGTGCCTGGAAGTATGCAATTCATTTTTGGGCGCTATCATTCAAACTTCAAAGCCTCAGAGTCAGGATTACTCACATTATTTGGGCTACATGGAGTGTGAGCGCTTGAAATATAAAACCTGTTCACATTCATATAACATCACCTGGATGGCAAGTGTTTTCATATAGTAAATAGCCTGGGGGCCTTTTCATGACTGTGTTGAAATAGGATTTGTACATGGACACATCAAGATGACATGAAATTTGTCTAATAAGATTGATTAATGCAGATTTCGTAGCGTGATTGTCATTCTAAAGGATCTTTGACTCAACATGTGTACTTTTTTCTTTTTGCACAAAGTATGTGTGAGACGGTGGGGGAAAGAAATACATTGTGCACTGAAACAATTGTGCTAAACAGGAGAGTTTAGGATATGCCAAGTGAGTGTAAATGGTTTCCTGACTGCAAATAAAATGTTTGTACAGTGTAGATTTAACCCACTACATCAGTTTTTTTTCCTTCTGTATAATGTGAGAAATTATTGCTCTGCTTTGAGTTTTCTTTACATCAGTTATCCAGAGCTCACTGTTTCGGGAGCCCTGTGATGAAGCCAGACAGCCTTAAGTGTTTTCCCATCAGCCCATGAGTTTTCAGTTCGACCTGTCTGCTGAATTCACTCCACAAATATTTACTGTTGTACAGTCAGTTGCTGGTACCTCCAGTCATTTGCATACTTACTGTTTCACTTTACTGTAGCAGTCGTCGTATTAGATGATCCTGGCTGGAGTCACTGCTGTCCGTGATGCAGAAAGGCAATGACTAGATCCTCCGTTTCATTTCTTCTTCTGACCTTTTGGACTCTACATGTCCTGTTAAGAAGTGGCCGGGCATGTTGTTCATATTCAAAATTGAACTAAATAGATAAACAACTGAAATAATAATACAGTTGTTGTATTTGAGATTTTTAGCAGGACCAGTGTTTTTTAATTAGACAAAACATTTTAAATTATTCAGCTGGGCCTTTTACCCCATTGGCTGTTGATTTGTTTTTGAATTTGATTTGAGTTTGTTGAGGTTTGCATCGGTTTAGTTACCCTCCTGTCCCTTGGCCCTCCATCTCCTTCCATCATTTGCTTTGCTTTCACTCTGCAGTAGAAGCAAAGAAAAGAGTAAGAAAGGAGCTTTGTGAAAAAGACAGTGAATGTTTGTTTATGAGGATGCTAGCCTTGCGGTGACATGCCTTTTTCCCTCCCTCTCACGAGGCTGTTAAATGAAATAGATACTCAGAGCACTATGTAATCAAATGTAACCCAGATCCAGCATTTTGGAGTGGAACAACAGTTTTTCCACTTGATTCATATGGCTGAGCTTCCTCGACCCAGGATAAAAACACTGGAGTTGACTTCATCTCCAATGGGTGGACTGGGCAAGTGAATATGTCCTGAAGGAAGGGACACTGTTTGGTTAGCATGGAGACTGGTGGAAAGAGATGTCTCACTTCGTGTAGGGTTTTGACAGCAGCTTTGTAAGAAGAAAAAAAAGTTAGGCGTAATAGTCCAATCTTCTATGATATGCAAATCTGTTTTAAGTTTGTGAATTAGAGTATGGCCGTATGCCCCCCCCCTCCTCTGTTTATTCTCTTTTATTATAGAATGATTATTATATTAGTGTATATAACGGGTTCACAAATCATTTTGCTATACCTATCTTGCGATGTTAACAAAAGTGACACAATAATTTGTGTGTCCGGCCCAGGATTCAGATCTGTTCCAGAATGTAATGGTCTCTTTCTTGGCCCACCTTTTTAGTAGTTGTTCTGTAATCCTGCTGACAGACAAACAAACAGCACCAGAAACATAACCTGCTTTTTAAATGACTTTTAGCATTTTATTCTCATATGTTGTGTAACATTGAACAGATTATAGTTTGGTGAAAATATTCTTAAATTTAATTCAGATGTTAGAGGTTGGCAGTCTAATTCACTTTTTTTTTTTTCTTCTGGTTTTGTGCTTGTTGGTGGCAAAGTTATTGAGCAAGTGAAAAGTTTGTATAACCAGAAGCTGATGTGTCTCTTATTTTTCTGCCCTCTTTTTGTAAAGTGATGGAGTCCACGGTTGTGAGTACATCCACTCTGGCCCCTGATGAGTTCGATAGGAATGTGCCGCGGATCTGCGGCGTGTGCGGCGACAAAGCCACCGGCTTCCACTTCAACGCCATGACCTGTGAGGGCTGCAAGGGTTTTTTCAGGTACGGAAATGCATATGCGAGGTCACAGATCCGCTGTAAAGCAGATGCAAATTGACTTGTATGCTGCGCACAGATATGTACGCTCACACTAAGTAGGCCTTGTGTTGCAGAACAATAGCTCATATCGCCCTGCTAAAAACGAAAAGATGCATATTAACCAAGTTATTGACATATTAGTATACAAACACATGTCTGAACTTGCACATATAATCGCCACACACACACACACACACACATTAAATGTAATTACCACCCACAGTTGCATAAGAACACACACAAAACCACGGACAACATTCGAGTTCACACTAATGCCCAGCAGCAGGTAGAGAATACTAATGAGCTTGGTCCTATAGTTAATGTGTTGGCTGCTGCCTGCTCAGTAATACACAGGAGTTTCTAATTTAACTAAAGAAAGAACTAGAGCAAGTCGTGATTTTGTGAGCTTGTATGTGTTTGATGTGTCGGCCCTTTTGCGTCTGTTCCTCTCGACAGTGTTGATATTTAAAGGGAGAGGATGAAAAAGACGGATGTTTAATAATCTCCTTCCTCATCTCTCAGCTGGCCCTTGTTTGAACTCTCACCAAGCATGCTTATGTGTGTGTTTTTGCTCAAATCTTGTGTGTAAATGTTCGTACATATATGCCCACCACTGACTAAATCATTATGACTTGCGTCACCGTCTGGTGAGACTACTTTTGGCAGTCGTCCATATTTATGCTGTTTCATTCAGTCCCAGGCTTGAAGGGCAAAAATATTTATCCAGTTCTACCATGATTATTGTTTGTGCAAAACACTTTGAAAGGTTTTGCAGTGCTATATTTGTTCAATTCAAATTGTTTGCACAGAGTGAACAAAATTCTTAACATCAGTGAGCTCTTTGAATTTTGCTTTTGTGTGTTTATAAACAGATATGTCTGTGTATTTAAGCAGACTGTAAAATGTCTACAATTTATTTAGGCGCAGTATGAAGCGCAAGGCTGCCTTCACTTGTCCCTTTAACGGCAGTTGCACTATCACCAAGGACAACAGGCGCCACTGCCAGGCCTGCCGGCTCAAACGCTGCGTGGACATTGGCATGATGAAAGAGTGTGAGTATGACGGGTTACCTATATGTGTACACCATGTGATTTACTGCATGTATTTAAATTGCAGGGTTATTTAGGTTTTGCAGGTTGATCAGTTTACTGTCAATTATTCAAGTAGTGTAAATAGGATCTAGGATAGGATCATGATTTTACGTGGTTGCCCAATACTGTGGACTAAGGCAAGACCACCCTCTCATGTAGACAAATTACACATTAAATATACTTTTCGTATTTCTTCCTTGGATGGATAGTAAAATTTACACAACTGCTGTTTGCCGTTTTTGGGGGCCTACTGTCCCTATTTTATATATTATGTAATATTTGGACAGGGGTCAAGTATCTCTGGGTCTTTGCCCCATTACAGTGTTTGCATGTTCTATTTGAACTAGAGGAGCCTCCCCACATTATATACAGTAAGTACATCTGAAGTTTAAACACCTGCTGTTATGTTCAGTCTAGCAAGGCCTCTTTTCTCCACACGGTTTATTTTCTTGGTCTGTAAATAGCAAGTACATTTTTTTTTCTTATTTTCTCCCGATATCCGGATATTGTCCACGCTGGTCTCTTTTAAGCTAAGGCCTCTCATATCCGGGTGAATGCTCTTTCCCCAGAGTATTACTGGTCATACCGCACGAGTGGTGGCACCGACACGACAATTTACTGTACATGAACGGGAGCCATTGGCATTGCTGTTGCAAAAACAGCAGCATGTTGTTGAGACCCAGCTCTCTCTCCCTCCCTCTCGCTCTCTCTGTCTCCGTGAGCTAATTCAGCGGCTAGAACAACAAGGAGCAAACAGAACAAAGACAATGCATTCAGTTGTTCAGTGCACCAGGGGTCTCCATATGGACCTGTCCCCCACCCCCTCCCATTCTCTTCCTCTAGAGAATAACAACCCCCCTCCTCCACCCAACACCACATTGACATAGCTGTCATCACAAGGTAAAAACATACTGAAAAGCTTAAAAAGCAGCGAACCTTCAACCTATTTGGGTGGTAAACCTGTATTCTGTTATTTTAGTTATCTTAACTCCATCGTCCCCCACTAGTCTTGCTTTTACCCCACCTGCTTTCCATATATGCAAATAAAACTATTTTCTCTCTGCATGTTTTTGCTAAAGTTTGTTTTTCCTGTGAGCGTAACACTCTCCCTCTTTGTCTCTTTATACTTGCACCCTCAGTCATTCTGACAGATGAGGAAGTGCAGAGAAAGAAGGACCTGATTCAACGAAGGAAGGATGAGGAGGCACAGCGCGAAGCAGAGAGGGAGGCACGGCGGCCCCGGCTTACCGACGAACAGAGTCAGGTCATCGCCACGCTGGTGGAGGCACACCACAAAACATATGACGACTCCTACTCCGACTTCTGCCGTTTCAGGGTTAGTTTCTTAATACAATGAATGTCACTGACAATTATCATTAACGTCATATCAACATTTTGCTTTCAGATATATTTCCATTAGCTTTTTATACAAGGTATAAAAGGTAGGTTTGGGTATTGTTTAAATTTTATCGATTGTGATTCTTCTTATGGATCCGGATCTCACCTGTGTTTTGTACCTGAGTGTGAAACGTAACTACTGTTAGCGGTAAATGGATCTGGGGCATCACTGCTGGGAGACGACAACACGTCGAACACGGTGCATTCCTACAGATTCACACCATATTGGAGGTGCTTCCTTCCTGACACGAAATCTCCTTACTGCAGGTGTTGCATTTTGCTGTGTCGTTATCTTTTATTACTGAAGCAAGACAAACTTTTGAGCGTTTGCTGTGGTCCACCATGGACCAGTAATATAAACAGAAGGACTCTCTTCTCGCATACTTTGATGACTGCATAACAAATGACGTGACGTTATGTCTGTGTAGTAGGTCCTGGCAGATAAGTGTAACTCTCATGGACTGTAAAATGTGCACTGCAGATCAGTCGGCAGCGTGACTGAAATATACGCATAATGTTAGGAGGAGTGCTGAGGATGAATAAATGAGTCTCACAGTCTGATGGAAGAAGCAGTCTGGTGGTACGACAGCAGATACTTCTGTATCCAGACTCTTTTTTTCCCAGACGGCAGCAGGGTGAACAGGCTGTGGCTGGGTGGGAACTGTTTTTTAGTATCCTTTGGGCTGTGCAGGCACCTCACCTCACTGATGCCCTGATCTTCTGAATGGTTTTAATCACCTGCTGCAGAGCCCTCTGGTCCTGGGCTGTACACAACCTGTGTAGGGCTGGGTGATAAAACAATAACAATAGTTTTTGCAATGTAATTTTCCTCAATTTAAATACATAATAAATCTTTAATATAAATCATGAATGAATCAGTATTAAAATATTTATTTTGTTGAAGAAAAAGGACTGAAAAAAGATTAATTTTACTCATGCATATTTGTTAAAGAGATTTTTTCATTTGAATTGTTTTGTATGTTCTACCTCAGATTTGTGAAATGATCCACTGTAGCGATCTGGTTTCTTCAACTTTCCGTCAGAAGCGAAAATCAGCCTGTAAACTTGAATGATAAGTAATGATTAGACATTTATCGTAATAATTGTCAATATGTGTTATCGTGATAAAATTTTTGGCTAAATTACCCAGCCCTAATTCAATGTCAATTTCTGATGATTCCAGCCAGGATGCTTTCAATTGCTCCTCTGTAAAACAGAGGAGCAAAAAAAACTGTTTAACAACTTGGCACAATTCTGCCTTCTTGTGTTTTCTTTAAAAAATACAGCCATTTCTGTGCTTATAGATAATAACATAAATTTCAAACAGAATTGACATACAGCTGTTATTGTTATTAAGACTGATGGAACAGTTCCAGCTGTTTTAGAGTCGCATCAACAGTAATGCTGCTGTATACTTGCTGTTTGCCTCTTCCAGAGTCCCATGAAATATCAATATTGACATTAATTTCAAATGAGTACAGGGACCTTAACATTACCTTGTAGTGCATTAACCAGCATACTCGCAGCATTTCGGTGTTGTTTTTTTCTGCTCCAGCTTTACAGCGTTGCCTGTCAACAGCAGTCATGTTTTGTATTGTTTACGCATAAATCTCACAACCAGTTGTCCATCTCTCCTCGGAAACTCTGTGTTGAATTACCCTCAAACACCCCTTTCCTTTCAGACATCTATCCTGTGCTGTTCTCTAACAGATTTCCATCCACACAAAACACACACACAAACACACACGGCCATACTCCAGTCCATGAATTTGTAAAATATTCAAATATTAGAAATAGTTTCCATCAAATGGCTTATCAGTTTGGTTTTTGTTTTTGGTGACTGGACATATTTAAGAATCCTCCTTCATGTGATCCCTTTTCGCCTGTCTAGCCTCCTGTGCGTGAGGGCCCGGTGACGCGTAGCGCCAGCAGAGCTGCCTCTCTCCACTCTTTGTCTGATGCCTCCTCTGACTCCTTCAGTCACTCTCCAGGTAAGAGAAACACACTTAAAATCAAGTGAAAACAGTGACTATCTGGGGCTACAAGTTTCTTTGTAGGAATGATCAAAAAACAAATTTTATATTTAAAAAAAGGACAAATAAGATGTCACCTCACTAAAATTATAACTGACTTGTTAAAGTAAAACAACCTAACTTTCAATACAGTTGGCAGACATGTTATATTAAACATATCAACAGAGTTTGTACTTGACTTCAATGCAATGTTTTCCAGATCAGGTGTTTGTGTGTTGGCTTATATCATTTGTTGCTTTACTGAGAATCCAGTGGAAATTCTGTGAATAACCTGTCCCCCCCAACCCCCACCTGACTCCTACTTGCAAACATCAGTTCATTAATGCATCCGTCGCTAATGGGTTGAACACAGCGAGGAACACGGTCACGTGGTCTACCACCAGCACTCAGCGGAGACGAATGAGTCAAAACAACCCCAGCTAGCTCTGCATGCTTCACATGTTGTCGTAGCTGTCATCAAAGCTTTCATCTCACTCCTACTGACCTGACACTCGTGTATTTTCACATGATCTTTCCGTCAACAAGCCCTCTATTCCTTTTCTCTTGGTTCTCTTGGCACTGTGTGTCTATTCATGGAGGAACAGTGTGACATTTTCTTTCTGTCTCCTCTACTTTCCTCTGTCTTCTTCCATTTTCTTGCTCACTGCAGAGTCAGTAGACACCAAAATGAACTTCAACAACCTGCTGATGATGTACCACGAGCAGGGCAGCAGCCCCGACTCCAGCGAGGAGGAGGGCTCCAGCTTCTCCATGCTGCCCCACCTGGCTGACCTGGTGTCCTATAGCATCCAGAAGGTTATTGGCTTTGCCAAGATGATCCCTGGGTTCAGGTGTGTGTGTGTGTGTGTGTGGAGAGCATCCTTCTAACTGTCTGTCATAGTTTTGACTCCGTCACTCTGCATTAGTTTTTAACAACTCACAAAACTTCCTTGTCTGGAGAATTTCAGACTCCAAGCCCTATAGGCTGTCACAAAAGATTTTCTTACCAAATTCACAATTACCAATATAACATGGCAACAAGACATGTTTGTTAACAAACGACATGTTGATGATTCACTCTTGGACTGTACTGTTTTGCAAACCACTGTGAGACAATTTTCAAAACTCCATCAGTTTTTATTTACGTGTCTCTGAGTGACTCTTTATCTAAATGTGTCTTGAAGACTTTGTACACCTATTTGTTTTTCTGTCCGATTAGTCGATATTGTACCCCAATGATGGCTGATGTCTAAAGGCCATAGATTACTGACAGACTATATATTACAGATAGCTGACACATTGTGGAAAATCTTTTACGTCATGTTCCTTCACTGGATTAGCTTGTTTGTGTAAAATTCAGTGCTTGAAGTATGTTAGTAGGTGACTTCCTAGCCTTAGACGAAGCCACTCTTCTAGTATTGAGCAGTCACCTGTCTTGCACCCTCAAGCTGTCTTATCTGATTGTCACACATTTTTCAAAAGCACCTATTACAGGAAAGACTTGTCTTTTGTTTGAAGTCCGATTCTTAAGAGAGATTAAGCACAATACAATCTTAACTTTGAAAACAGAATACAGTAAATGGTTACCATAAAGGCAAATTAACAGCATCCTTTTTCATTGTTTCTTCCCTACCTTCCACACATTTCAGCGTGGTGTTGTCGTCGTTGTTGTTTTTTTGTCTCAGTGCGTTGACAGGGACAAACGCTCAATGTCTCGGGGGTCACCCCTAAGTCGAGGCTAAAACGAGTTGGGGCCTGTATTTCCTGAGAGTTGTCCTTCCCACTGGCAGCGAATGATGGATGTGGTCGGATTACCTTTGGAATGTTTGTCCACTTATGATCTCCTCCCTAAGCCCTGAAAAACCTCCCCTAAAGATCTGCAAGTTTCAGCTCATGTATCCTGCTAGTTCAGTTTGATTTCATGTACATTTAAAGATGTGTCATAACATCATTAGATACAGTGCTTTACTGTGACCAGTTTAAGATCAGTTTGAATAGATGTTTATCAGATGTGTTTTCCACACACCCATCACTTCAGGAGGAAGCAAACTGAATGTTTTGGATGTTTTTCCTTCCTGCAGAACATATATCTAATAATCTTTGAAGACTTTGACTGACCTTGAACCTGTTGTCATTAAACCGGTGATCAGCAAATTCCTTTGAAATAAATTATACAACTGATGAACTGACATAAACAAGCAGAATGGGCGGGCACTGAATCTTTACTCGTTTACCCGTTGCTGTATCAGTTTCCTCTAAACATAAACATAATCAATGCTACATAACAAAGGTTATTTGAGGACTATTACTTTAATAGTGAACTATTTGTGGTTCATTAACTTAGCAGGTGATATCTTACCCTACAGGGAGCTGACTGCAGAGGACCAGATCGCCCTGCTCAAGTCCAGTGCCATTGAGGTGATCATGCTGCGCTCAAATCAGAGCTTCAACCTGGAAGACATGTCCTGGAGCTGTGGTGGGCCTGACTTTAAATACCAGATCAGTGATGTCACCAAAGGTCAGTCTAAACGATGTCATGTGTACAGTTTGACTGATTAGTCTAGTGTTTAGGACTATGTATACGCATGCTTGCTCATTTCGCTCATTGGATAGGTGAAGAAAAGATGTTCATTTTAAACATTAACACATTTACTCAGAGCTTGAAGAATAACAACAGCCCGTCGTTGTTAAGGAGGCGACCGGATCATGTGGGAGTACAGATAGTTATTGGTGGCCTGTGTACACACCCATAGGAAAAGGATGCTAATGCACGTTTTTCAGCAAAACCAATCTAACATATCCGCAGAAGCCCCTGTGGGCATGGCTTACATTTGCCTTTCAAACAAGACCCCTCTCTCTCGCGCGCGCTCACTCTCGCTCTCTCCAGGATCAGCCAAAGAATGTCACTCCTGACCTGCTCACCACACAAAACAACCACTGTCTGGAGCAGGAGAAGCAGCTCTGTTGTGCTCTTCCTAAAATATCACCGAATAGTTGACGTGAACATGACTGGAATACTGATGTGTGTTTCTTGTGCAGTAATTGATAGAATACTAGTTATAGTTATAGTTTACGATGAATGAAAGTTTAACTTAACCTTTCACAGCAGCTGCTTGTTAAAAAGTTTATGTAACACGGAAGTTAAAGTTACTGCTGTGTATCGTTAAAAAAGTCCCAATACAATACCTGAATGTCTATACCGATCATCACTTTGATTTCAATATTTAATTTTGTTTAGTAAACACGTTTTTCCCAACCCAAGTTTTTAAAAACCAAATCTTTTGAAATGCATCGGTGTTTGATATTGCCTCAACACAAACAAACTTTACCACCTAAATAAAATCAGGGTAAAAATAAGTTATTATTTAATTAGATTTATTTATTAATTACAAAGATTAATTTATCTGAAAAAACATTTGTTGCTAACATATTCCTTGCTACAGGCACTTTTCTGCCAGCGCTCAGAAAGCATTGGGGTTCAATACACATTTCTAGCTAAATAATGAGAAAACACAGGTACAGTCAAGATAATCAATGAAAACTTTTGATCAGTATGGTTTTGGTTTCTCATTTACACATCCACATACCTCCACCCCAAACTCCAAGAAATGGTGTACACACTGATCTGAATTCAGATTAGCTCATTAAATTAATTCTCAGCCGGTTCTTAGTGAAAACAAACCGCATGCTGGAAAAAAATCCTCTCCAGAGATGATTCCAACAGGCAAAGTGAAATATTAATGAGGGATGGTAACGTTCCCCGGAGGGCCTTTCTTCTGTGATATAGTATGTTCGATGTGCGGCACAGGCGGTAATGATGTGTTGCGTCCTCTGTAGCGGGCCATACTCTGGAGCTGCTGGAGCCACTGGTGAAGTTCCAGGTGGGCTTGAAGAAGCTCAACCTGCATGAGGAGGAACATGTGCTGCTGATGGCCATCTGCTTGCTTTCTCCAGGTACCGTAGGTCTGACTTTGTGGAGGACGGAACATGTAGAGGGTCATCATGAATTGTTTGTCATCTCGTTTGCCTCTTCTCCTTTTTTTTTCAATAGAGAATATATTCATTATAGTTTTTATTGTGGTTCAGTTAAAAGGTCAACTGAAACATTCAAAGCATTGTTGCCATTTGTCACTCAAAATAACTCACATTGAGGGGCAGGTCTGAGTTACTTAAAGGGTTTGGCCTTTGTCTGAACACAGCTTCGTGTGTATGGAATGTATTTGCAGATGTGTATATATTTATACATGTACACGCAAGCATGTGTAACAAAGTGGATATTTGCATTCCTTTGTATAAATGAAGCACCTCATTAACAATGCATATATGTACTCTCCCTGATCTAAAATTACCAAGCCACCTGAGCAGAACGGTGGAAATTCAAACACAAAGATCATGCAATTTTATGGTAATTTACAGTTGGACATCTAAGATTGTTTTCTTAGATTATTATTATTTTTCAATAAACCCAAAAATGTATAATGCATTAAGGTTTCAATATTAATAGTTAAGCTAAAAAGCACCAGAAATTATGTAACAACCACAAATATATCTCCTCTCCTCTCTGCAGACCGCCCAGGTGTGCAGGACCACGCACGAATCGAAGCCCTCCAAGACAGACTGTCCGAGACCCTGCAGGCCTACATCCAGCTTCACCACCCAGGAGGACGGCTGATTTATGCCAAGATGATCCAGAAACTGGCCGACCTGCGCAGCCTCAACGAGGAGCACTCCAAACAGTACCGTTCGCTCTCCTTCCAGCCGGAGCACAGCATGCAGCTCACCCCGCTGGTGCTGGAGGTGTTCGGCAGCGAAGTCTCCTAGAGGCCAGCTCAGAACCTGGGCAGTGATGAGGAAGCCAGAGACAAGAGCCCTCGGGGTTAAAATGTAGGGAGAGAGCAGAGGTGTGGCATATGAAGCGAGTGGAGGAGAGAACGTGGTGTGTATGTGTGTGTCTGCATGCTTGTGTTGGGTGTGTGGTTTCATGTGTGTCTTGTCTGAAGAAGTCTATGTTGGCGTAAAGGCCAAGGTTATATGGAGAGCAAGCAGGTGTTAAGAGACACAGCAAACAAGGAAGCTTCATATAATACATATAAAACTATACATACGTCTGCCTATATACAGTGTTTTTGTCTGTATTTAAATCAACAAACAAGCTGCTTTCAAATGTCTGGACATTTTGTGTGTGTACATGACGTGCACACGCCAACACAACAAAGCATTCTCAGTTATTCACTTAGCCATTCAGTTGAGCTACCTCTTGTTTTTACCGGGGTTGTTTTCTACATCACCTACGTGAAACAGCAACTTTTACACAGAACAATTTAGATACAGTACGGACTACATTTCATTTTATCAGTGCAAACGCAGTGCCTGCACATTACTTGGAATTTTTTGATGTTTCAGAAATCTTGTCTTTTGTTTTTTTTCATCTGCTTCTCTCCAGGGCAGCATAATGTATATGACTGTGTATACAATTCAAACACATGCCTTTCACCTTTTCACCAAAGGTATGGTCAATGACTTTCTTACAAGGCTTCCAGCACCTAAAAATAACCTTGCTGCTCCGTGGCTCGATTCACGCATGCCTCACAGCCTATGAAGGAAGCTGTCATTATTTAGGTTTGCTGCAGAGAAGAGAACACAGTCTGTTGTTTAGTGAGGTTTTGAAGATGACTCTGGGGTGCCTGGTTTTTCGAGGTTAGAATTAGCCACTAAATGTGTTACTTTTACACTGCTAACTGTCAATCGAACCAAGCCTGCATTAAGGCTTGTTACACTCTTTTGATTTTGTTTTTCATTCTTCTTCTCTTCTGTTTTGTTGTTTATTTCCCTGTAAATAGTTAATTACTACCACATATATCCTAAGCACTGTTATATACCACCTTTTACTCAAGCCTATGTATTGATATACAGTATCTATATGATCACAGATTTTAAAGGGCTAATTTGCCAAATCTAACTGGAATAGTAAATCGAGGCCAAAGCAACAGGCCTGTCTTGTTAATATATAGCTGCATACCATGCTTGGAATTGGCATATATACTGTTGTAATTGCAATGGATGTTTTTTGTTTTCTACGCTATTTCTTCACCTTTAAAAACAATTCCATGAATTGTTCCTCCTCAGTATACCGTGTTCTCGGTGGGCGGAGAGCTTGGGAAGCTGCTTCAGACCTCCACAGATATCACACCCCTTTCTTTTCTGACAGGGAAGTGAATTTTCTAGAATGTCTGAGGGCTTGGTTGTGGTGGTGCGCTCCTGTACACCCAGGCCCTCCTGTTTGATGACGTATGCTGCGCAGCCCTCTAGTGGCTGCATTGTGTAAATACCAGGTATATATATACAGTATATACATATAATATGTCTGCCGCTGTACATAGGGCTACATAGATATTTCTCAAGGCAAATCTTTTCAGAAATATATATGCAAATACAATATTGACCCTTTCTTTTAATTTTGAATCATTATCACTGCGTTCTGAGACACTATGCTTTTTTTTTCTTTTTCTTTTTTTTTTTTTTTTACTTTGATCATCATTTTTGGTGAAAAGGAGTTGGTATTGGCTTAAACAGGGATTGCTTGTGTATTTGACTAAGTCAAGCTATTATTTGTTTCGTGGTGGGTTGATGTTTTTGCCTATTTTCCAAGGTTTATTTTTAGAAAGAGGACAAGCTAAAACATACCACGCTGCTCTCTAATATAAGCCATATAAATCACCAAGCTAGTTATACACCCGATACATTACAGTGCATTGAAATGATGACTCCAGAGCCATGGATATTCTCATTATATAATCTCCTAAACTCATATGCTATTTATCCATGGTTTAGGGGAAGATAAGCTTGTTTATGATAGGAACTCCTATGCTGTCTCTCTGCTGTCAGTCATCTTTGGCTTGTGCTTCATCAGACAGCATCTAATGGCTTGTAAAACCAAACTGTCTAGATGATTTAAACGCTTAGGTTTAGAGGTCAGTAATGTATGGCTTGCTGCATGTGGGATTATTGTAAAATTATATGCGAAGACATCTTCTCTTTATAGCAAGACAATTTCCCCCAAAGAAGTGTCAAGTCAGATTCCCACCAAGTTCAGGTGATTTCACAAGATGCAACTTGGCTCAAAGGAATAATTTGCAGAGATGACACAAAAGTCTCAAACTTTCTTTTTGTCTTCTATTTGCTGTGTGACAAAAGACATCTATTAAAACGTTTCCTGTGATTGGCCATAGGGGGCTCCTACGTCAGACCGAGGGCCTCCTTCAGTGGAAAATGGTGTGAGAGAGAGCATACGTCTGTTGTTGAACTGAGCTGGACTATGTTTTCACAAGTGCTTTGTGAGACCTTTTGAGAGTTTGTTGCTTTAATTTGTTTAGTTCACTTTTTTATTATTATTTTTTTTTTTAAACCTACCATAGGATTTTATATCCGTTCTCCGTCACTGTGATACTCTAAAAGCTGACAGTCGGGGCTGGACATGTAGATTATCTGCATAGCACAGATAGGTAAATAGTTTTAGGATGTTTCCATATTTACCTAATTATAATAAGTTTGGTTTTCTTTATGAAAACCATTGGGATTGTTTAGTGATATATAATTTAAAATAAAATTCCACATATGTCCCACAAATCTCCCTGCTGTGATTGAACTTTAAGGAGTAGAGGCTCGAGGGTCTTTAGGCAGTACCACTCATGTATAGTATGTCAGTTTGATGAGGGGTATGATGTGCTTGGTTACTGAACACTGACTTTTGAAGATTTGAAAAGTCTCCATGTTGATTTTCTCTGAATACATACTTCGGGATGTAGATCTGGGTTTGATTTTGTTCTGTGTTGTTTGTGAGATAGAGATGTGGTGTTGATTTGTGTATGTTTAATACAGTGGAAAGTTTGGTGAACATGTAAGTGCCACGGGGAGAGTTCCCTCCACACAAAAACAGGGTAAAAGGGGAGTTGCTCTTGGGGATTTAAAAAAAAAAAAAAAAAAAAAAAAAAAAACTGACCAGGAAGAGTCTTGAGGATGTATCATATAGTCGCTAATTTAAGAAGTAGATTTCGTTCAGTATTGCATAGCATCATGGGGAATTCTCACTTTTCATAAGAAGGGAAACCCCCCTTTTCCCCTTTTATGACTAAATGAATATGTGATTAAATGTTGTTTTTGGGACCTTTTCCCCCATTTAATTCCCCACCCAACATACTGTACATAACATGCAAATACATTTAAATCTAAATGTGGTGCATCCCCAGAGTTTCCTGTTTGGTTTTACTATGGTAGGCTGCTCAGAATCCGTAAGTTCTTAACTCTGCATTGTGGTTGTTCTAATACTGGAACTTGAAGACCATATGTCAGCGGAAACCCGCCACAAATTAGATGGATGCATCTTTGGTGAGATTTCCCCCATGATTGGCAACATAACACCGTAACAATGCCTGCAATATACAACTTATGGTACACTATCACCAGCAAGCTTTACAGTTTATCATGTTAGTAGACATTTTTAAAGTTTTTTGTATAACTGTTGCTATTATAAATCCTGTCTGAAAAAACACGTATGGTATCATTCATAGAAAACAGTAGGCCATCTCCCATGCAAAGGCTTTCAAGTCTTTTATTTTTTGTTCCTCCCATTAGGACAGGGATTGTAATGGAATCAACTTAATGTAGTTCTTACAAAAAGGAGTGTCCGCAATGGATGTACACCATAATCTACCTAAAAAACCTACCTCTTTTAGCTCAGATTTTGCTTTAGCATTAAGCATTTGCCTCTGTTTTTACTTTTGTAATATTTGTATTCGTGTTGGTATTTATTGCTGTCTAATGAGTCATACTTAAATGATTACCTCAGAGATATCTCACAGATTTGGGAGAGTCCAGCTAATGAAGTCCTACATAGTTTTATTTGGGTTTTTTGTACAGTTTTTTTTTTGTTTTTTTTTTTTTGTTCTTCTCAGACTTAGTATTGCCGTTTTTTGTCCTTTTTTTTTTTTTTTTTTTTTTTACGCACAAGATACCAGGAGTGTTTTTAATATAGTGCCTCCACACTCTGAACAGCGGTGCTCAGACTAGGTAGGTTGAGGCTGAATTTACTCCACAAAAGGAAATCCATCTCTGCATCTTTGTCCTTTCGTTCTATCCTTGGGATTCCTTGGTAATTTTCTGCAACGGGTGTAGTTGTCACGTTGCTGATGTCTACCTTATCGTTATAGTCCTTAAGGGCAAACTGAAGAGGGGGACTTTGCGGAGTGAATGCAGTTGTAAAGAAGGAACAATCTGAAAGACAGTAGGATAAACGAGAGATGTGTTTGCGCTCAGCTTGGTACTGTTTAGCATGGTCTTTGCTCTGTAGTACGCTATCCTTACCTGGTCTCTCTTATTTGCCTCGTCATTTCCTCCATATACCCTCTTTTGTCTTCACTTCTCCTTCTGTCCTAAAGTCTGTTCCCGCACCTTTATCATTCCCTGCCGATGTTTTGTCTAAACAAGGGGAATTAGGAGAAGTGAAATCCTCAGTATCCATGCAATGCTGCTTTTATCTGGAGCATCGCCAAGTTGTCCGTTATTGAGGCTACACAATGTGGTGCAGCGTCCTAAGTGTCGGTCACTTTGGCTCATTGGAAGATTGTGTCTTTTGAAAACGTGTGCAACTTAGTGATGCTTATGTGGGGGGGTGGGGATTCCTTTCAGATCCTAGTATCATATTAACGGAGCAACTACTCACTTTGGTGAATTTAAACCAATTTCTTTTTTTTTTTGTATTCATGTCAAACTGCTTCAGGTAAACACTGAATGAAATAAGAGAGTTTTTATTGATCAGTGAATACTGAGGAACAATGTCGCCATGGTCACACCTACCCTGAGCTGTGTGCCATAATAAGACCCTTTTAATGCAGGGGAGGGTGTTAATGAAGCTGGCTTCAGATGTTCCCCAGCTTAATTTGACTGGGACGGTTGTCTGAGTATTAGATTGGCTTCATACTCAGTACTCCGTCAGCCATGTGTATTGATCTGTGTATAAGGAGCAAATTTGAATTTGGCATTGAATTCTCACCCTGCATTGTGAACCCAAATCATGCCACATTCAATTTAAATGCCTGAACCAACAAAAGCACTTAATGTAATGTTTGTAATACATGCATACTGATAAATCTACTAGCCATAAACTGCCTGTGTAGGTCAGCATGATATGGCTCCAATTATTGAAAAAAGTTACGTCACTTAAATTCTAATGTAATTGCGATTTATCTTGTCTCTTTTTTTTTTTTTTTTTTTTTTTTTTCTTCAAAGATCTTCTTTTTTTTCTATTATAAATTGGTGATTATGTAATGTTATTTTTGTCAGATGTTTTCCAAATCAAAAATAAACGGTTGTACATAGCAGTGGGCTTCTGTGTGATTTAGTTTTTCTAATATATTTGCTGTTTATCATTAAGGGGCTTTATGGACATTGTTGATCAAATGCTTCATATTGTTTTGAAATGGCTACTTAAAAACTATGTACATTAAAAGAAATGACTGTACACAGTTTACACAAGAACATTTGCAAGTACACCCACAATACCAGTTATAGAGGATTCATGCACGGGCAGATTGGCCATCTGGCAATTCTGGCAAATGCCAGAGAGGCCGGCCCATTTGTTTTGAGGTGGAAATAAAAATATACGGTCATGTGAGAAACACTTAATATATATAAGTTAATTGTTTTTACAGGGCGACGTAGGGCTGGACAATAAAACGATAACAATATTTATCACTTTTTTTTCAATAATATAACATGTTCAATAAATGTTTGATTTTATTCACTTGAATTATACACGAATTAGGACTTTTTGTGAAGTGATCCACTGTTTGGCCTCAAGTGTTGACCACAATTAATCAGGTTTCTTCAGCTTTCAATCGGGAGCAAAAATTAGCTTTTAAAGTATGCTGTGCCGTGCAGACTGGTTCAAGCCATGGTGACACTTTCTGAAAATGTGTGATCTTATTGTTATAAACCTGTGTGCACAGCAACATGATTTAAGATAAGAATCATTCATCCCACAGGAAATTATGTTCAAGGCTCTCAAAAAATTATTTTTTTTTCTTAAATTTTTCTCCTTTCAAGTTTTCTAAGTTGGTCTTCCTTCATCCTTGAACTTTCAATATGTTCAAGCTGTGATTTCGCCACTAGAGGGCACTGTCTCTCATTACATGCTCATTGACCTAATGACCTCTCTGATGTGAAGCTAATGCCAGCCAGAAACAGTTAAGCTCATTTTGGTCATACTGGACGACCTCACCACAAAGTTGTGGGGTGTGTGTGTGTGTGGGTGACACAACAGTGCCTGCTAAACGCACACAGTAAGGTTGCATGAAGATTTATCTGACACATGTACAATATGTCGGAAGAGATTTGAGCTCACCTCAGCTCACATCTCTCCAGCTGGTCATGGTATGGAGCAAGATTGCACGAGTGGTGATCTGCAGAGGGGAACAAATAAAAGGTTATCAGAGAAATCCAGTCATTGCGCGACAGTTAATTGTCAGCCCTGGTACGAAGCAGAGGCACTTCTTTTGCCTGCTGATAAGGTTTGCGCTTGTGCGGTCTGCTGAGCCGTTGCGTCTGTGCAAGAGGTTAGTTGAAGGAAAAGAAAGGCTCTGGTTGCAGCAACATCCCTTAGGTGAGGCTGCATTATCTCACAACAGAGCAACGACAACCAAAACTGTTCACCCTGTACTTTTCCAAAGGGGTGGTATTTCTGGATGCACAATCCTCTCCATAGTTAACAAGCATTAATGACAAGTAGCAAACTCTAAAGGCAAATCAGTAAAATTCCAGGATGTCTACATGTGAAATGGCTTTATTAAGAAACAGGCCAAATTGAATTTATGCCATTTAAAATTTTAAATCAAATGGCACTGATTTTCACTTTATGAGCCCAACCCATTTAGTACACCTGTACAGTCAGTTGTTTTCAAACCAGTCTGTAAAGTCATTCAAAACTCACAGTTCTCAGTTCCTTCAGATGCTGGATTATTGCTGAGGAGATCAATTTAATTCCATACATCCTTTAAAGCTGCAATTTTTTTATATAAACAGTTGGACAGATCTATAACATGTAATGTGAAAGGGGTCGCTTGTATTGACAAACTCACAAACAACTATTGCAACTACTGCAGCCTGTAGTCCACCTCAGCTCTACAGAGCATTTTAGCATATTTCAGCTCTTTGTTTTGGTGTTCTAGCCTGCGGCTGTAGTGTTTTGATTCAGTCTTGTTTTCATCAGCATTGTTTCCAGCAACAACAGACTGAAAAAAACTGAACTGTCTACCTGCCGAGCACCTGAAGGGACAGTCAAAGTTAGCAATTGGCTGGTGAAGAAGAGTGGATGTTGGACTTACATTCATCAGGTGGCCGGAAACACAACTCCAAATGAATGTTAATGTTGCTCTGTGACACGTTTGCCACAGTAACTTGAGATGATAATATGACAGTGTTTGGTTTACAGCTTGTTTGCCACTCCCAAGTGGCCAAACAGTCAATTAATGCAGCTTTTAAAGGGGGTATCTGTTGTTTTTCAATGAAAGCACTTATTAATAGATAAAAATTTTACCTCTTTTGAAAAGGAAGCACACGCCTGCTAAGCTCACGACATGCAGTCCACTAACACCACAAAACTACCAGCTCCCAGCAAAACACAGACTGCAACATAAACTCCATGTAAGGATGCAAAACAACAATAAAGCTTTATGTGCTGAAGCCTGTCAGACCAAACAGAATCAGATGATGCCGGTGAAAACAGTGAACATCAGAAAGGCTGAAGACACGTACAGTCACATTAGCTCGCCCGCTAACGCCGAGCAGTTGCTAACATTATCTGGTGCAAAGTTGTATGGCTTTCCACATTACTTCACCAATTAGTGCGATCCACATTACTGTCCTGTGTACCACCCGTATTATGTCAAAGTGTTGATTTAGCCTGCAAGAAAGGATGTAATGGTAAAAAGCACATGTGGAGCAATTTGTTTACTAGCCTGGATGCAAGGCAGGAGCAGCCAGCTAACGCAGCATTAGCTCGGACCTGCCGCTGTTTGCTTTGTAACGTACAATTTAGATTTGAACTGATACTCAGGTACACAGCATATCCACCGTCTCAGTCACTGTAACTAACGCGTCATAACTGCGACAACAACACAGAGGAAGAGCCATCCACTAACATTACAGTAAAGTTACTTACTGTTGTAAAGTGTGACAACAATCTCACTATAATATTCAGTCTAGCTCACTAACAGTTTCGTTATCATCTAATACATGTACGCTAGCTGTGCTGACATCGCTGAGCCTCCGGTGAAAGACACACAGTAATATTAGTTACTGAAAAGCAGAAAGGCGAGCTAACAACGATGTATCACGTCGGCAAAATGCAGTAAATGTACCGTTATCATGTAACGAACATGAATTAGTTAATCCTCAAGCTGATAAAAATATTACTGTAGTGTTGCATTAGGAGTATACATGAGTTTCCAGCATGTTGTGTGAAGCTGTCTCCCTGTCTGTCTATAGCTGCTGTCCCTCTGCCTTTTTTTGAGGGAGTATTGTGCCAATATGCAGCTCGCTGCGCTGTATGAAAGGTATGGAGCTGGTGTTGAGCTGCTTCTGAGCCGGGAACATTGAAGTAACAAAGCCTGAACGTATATGGAGAAAAGCCACAGCCTGCATTCCGCTGTTCAGCGTTGATTGCAGGATTTCTGTATGAAAGCAGTCGTTTCGGATTATGCTTGCTCAAGAGTTGAAGTGAGCATGCGTACAAACACACCAGTTTGCAATCTTAAAACCACACCGCTAGTGGCCGCTGAAAACTCCACAATGCCCCTCCAAGTTCATGTTCAGATTCTCAAATTTGTGTCATGGAGGTTTTCTCTGAAGGACAACTACTGTACATTCTACATAATGTGACAAAGGTGTGATTAAATAATACGCTTATTTAAGAAAATCTCTAAATATAATATCACCACTTGCTGTTTCTGGTCCTTCTCGGTGCACCAAGCGGTGTGCTCGGTGACCAGGGTCGCACCAGGACAGTTTCTTGGTATGCCACTACGCAGCTTCGGTTTTTGGGTGACGCACAGGCTAGTCATGGGTAGTCACCAGATAAAGAAGTACACACACACACACACACACTCCAGAGTGGCCCCAGTGTACAAGCACAATAGGGAGGTCCTCAAAGGTATTTCTGTCAGTGGGGGTATAAATACTAACGTGTTGTGCCTTCATATTATCAGAGACTGATACTGCAGCTCTGAGCAGCACATGTGCACACTGATAGACTGTGGCCTTTGTATGAAATGTAACTGTATTTTTTTCTGTGAATGCCCCTGCCATAAAATGTGTTTTATTTTTGCACCCCAGCTTGGGGTATGACTGTTCAGTTGGCACATAGCCGCCTGCAGGGGGATGTCAGTTGTGACTTTCCAGTAATAACAAGGGCGTGTTGTTTTCTGTGTGCATATCTCTTGTACGTCTGTGTGTGTGAGGCAGACACAGGGAGAGGGAGAGTTTTATTTCAAACTAAACAGCCAGTCACAATGAGAAGACAAAGCAAAAAACGATGCAGTCGGATCAGTAATGTGAAGCTCATGTTATGTATTGAACGTCTGCGTGTGAGCCTATGGGGCGAAATAGAGAGGAGCCTTTTTTCCTCTTTTGTATTGATTCTGTGCCCACTTATCTAGATTGGATGTTGGATGCCCTTTATGCAAGTCATCCAAATATCATTAGGGCTAAATCCACCATGTGGTTTTGGTTCAGAATGTCAGGAACGCATGCATGGCCCGTGGATGTTTCTCCACTCTCAGGCTTTCCGTGGGGCAAAATAACATTCTCTGCTCTCACAGAGCTGAAGGTGGAGGCACACAGAAAACACATATATACAGAACATCAATAAACCTGCTTTATATAACAGATTCTAAGATGTAGCACTCAGCAGTCATAAGTACCATCTTCACTGCAAACAGTAGGATTGCATGCAAGTACTGACTGAGTGCAGGGGTCGCAGTGTGAATAATGCTATTGTTTATTATTACAAAGCTGGGTGATTTATGTGGAACACAAGGAACATCACATTTTACAATTGTTTTAAGAAAAAAAAGCATTTTTTTAAATAATTGTTCCAAAGAAGGAAGAAAAACATCTTAGTTTTTTAAAATGTCAGTTGTTTTTGTGCCCTCCTTACTTTCCAGACAAGAAGAGGGCAGAGCTGGAAGAAGCTGTGTGTGTGTGTGTGTCTGTGTGTCTGTGTGTGTGTGTGTGTGAGGAAGTGTTCTCCTTGGAAAATAATGGCTGCAAAGTCACATTAATGGCCAAACATTTCCTCCGTGTTTTCCCCTGCCCTATATTTA